CCTCCATCATGTCTGTCCTTGAAGCAAATAAAAAACCAGAACCAAATCCTGTGGAGCCTGTCGTGGAAAGAGAGGTAACTGATGAAGATATAAACATAATTCATAAGGCCTTCACACTTTTCCCTGCAATAAAATGTTAACATCCTTCAGTGACATAGGTATTATTATAACCTGAACTGTCCATTAGTGTGACAGAAATTAAGATCTTGTCTCTTCAAAACTGCTGGTCATTCAGTGCCTGCTGTTCAGCCAGTTCTTATCGAATGTGTCATACATACTAATTTTCATTTAAAAACCATCCGTTGGTTTATTTATACGTTTTTGTCACATTCTCCCCTTTTAGGTGGAACCAGTCCCTGCCCCAGTTGAAGAAGAGGCTCCCACTGCTGCACTGGAAGAATCTGAGATGCCTGAGATGCCAGAGATGCCAATTCAGCAGCAACCAGCCGACACGAAAGATGAGGAAGAACCAATGGAGCAAGAACAGTCTGGTCCAGTGATACAGGAGGAAACTGATGACACTGTTTCCCAGGTATAGAAAAAGTTATGATAGATGTGTGATTTTTATGCCTCCACGCTGGCGACAGGCATTGCCGGAGGCATTGTTTTCAGGTTGTCTCTCTGTCCGTCCCATTCTCATGAATGCGATATATCTCAAGAACGCCTTGAGGGAATATCTTCAAATGTGGCACAAATGTCATTGGGCTCAAGAATTAACTGATTAGAATTTGGTGGTCAAAGGTCACTGTGAACTTGTGTCCCGTCTTATTTTGTGAACACAATATTTCAAGAATGCCTTGAGGGAATTTTTATCAAATTTGGCACAAATGTCTATTTGGACTTAAGAATGAACTTACTAGAATTGGTGGTTGAAGGTCAAAGGTCAAGGTCAGTGTGACCTCACATAACATATTAGCCAAAATCCATTTGCTGAATATTACAAAATGTCACATACATTTCTAGTAGGATAAAATGAAGTGATGACAGTTTGTGTCCAAAAGGTTAAAGGTCAACTTCCCTGTGACATCATAATGTTCTGCAAAAACACTTTTCTGGCTATTATGCATCGTCATATCTCAGGAACAGAAGGGGAGACATTTGTTCAGATACTAAATTGGTGATGGTAATTTTGGGCATCCACCTTGTAACTGTGCTGATAGTACAGATCATCTGTGCTGCGGGAGGAAGATGTGCGTGAAGCATCCATGTTTTCTAGGGTTGTCCCAAAAGCTTAATCTAGTGATAATTTTTTTGACTAGTTTAACAGGGTTTTTTTTTTCGATTATCGTTTATTTTTCCATTATTTGATTAATGATTAACAACATTTTTTTTCTCTCATGCATTAATTCATAATAAGCGTGTGGACATTCAAATATTCAGGGTTGCAGGTTGAATGCCCTTAAGCCTGAAAATAAATATGATTTTTTGATTGAAGTGAACCTTAATCAACAGAAAACTACTCTATGCTGCCTCATATTATCAGTGAGTTAAATTTTATCATAAAAAATGAAATGGAACTACGAACATTTTGCTCTGTAAGGTAATTTTTGGTTCTCTTCAGGAGGAGATGTCAAAAAAAGAGGAGTCAGCATCACCTCAACCAGAGCCTGCTGAGGAACAGATGGAGGCATCTCAGCCTGAACCGTCAGACCTCCAGGAGCCTGAAAAAGATGTTGAAGCTGATGCCACGGGACCTGAGGCTGAAAGCAGCAGTGAAGTTGCAGAGTGACTGCACAAAACAAATGCACTCAAAATGGACATTTCTCTCCTTTGCAAACATCCCACAGATTTTTCAGGATTTCGTGTCAGTAAAAAGCTCTTTGTTCTTTTTGTATATGTAGAACACAGATTTTGAGGGGGAAAAAAATCAGGATAACTGTGCTAGTGAATTCCATACATGTTCATGTGATGATGAGTCAGCAAATAAATCAATCTAATGTTGGTTTATTGTCTGCTTCAACTGTGTTTGCCTTACTTCCCCATGGTTCAATGTCAATCTGTTTATTAAATACATCTTAAACATCATGTTTAACAGGGTTTGATTTTGAAAGACGTTCAGGTGTGAGCAGTTTTCAGAATTCCTGACATGTCATTGGCATTACATGTGCTCTGATGTCATCAAGTCACAGAAGGCACTCCATGTGATATTTGCACCCTCTTTCCCAGTTAATCCATTGATAAAGAAGTAGGCTACTTAGATTATTTTGCACAGCCTGTTGACAAGACCTGATAACCTCAGTCAAACAGGAAATGTTCCTTTGTAAATGTTAAGTGTTACGTTTTTCCAGTTTTAGTCTTTTGCTGCACGTGATCAATTGTTTTTCCACTTTCACGATTTGACTATATAATTTGCACTTTGGCATATTGTGAGATACTCCGAAATAACTGGTCAGCAATGGCTATAATGCTGTTGTTTACTGTAGTATGTTGTACCCTTAAATCTTCAACATAATGTTCTAGTACCAGTTTGTGAAGGACTGCAATTAGCACCATATTTGTATCATGCTCTTCCTCCATCACTATGTACTCATTATCTGATAAATCTCTGACAGTGTTACCCTCCTGTATTGTAGTCACAGTTGTGGTGCAGTACTGTTGGTCCATGTTAACCTCTTTGTCGCATCCCCAGAGGTAGAAGGAATTCTTACAGCTGTGTAGTAGCACAGGGGTGATCTGAGAGCAAACAATGTTACTTACCTATGTGCATACTTAACCTGTGTGTCATGTTGTTTCTACACACACATTATTGTTGGGAAAGCAGTTAAATTTAGTTGTCACTGATGGTGTGAAAACACTCGTGTTGAATGTAGAGAAAAAAATTGCAGGAGTTGGGGGATGGCTTCCAACTCATGTGGTTTATGTTGCTGACCAGCTGGCGCACCTTTGCCTTTTTACAGAGTGGAAAATGGTAAAATATTTGTGTAATCAGTTGAGTGTTTTGAACATCTCAATTGTGTTTTTAAACTAAGGATTTGGGTCTCTACAATGTACTGTTATACACAAGACATGAAATTGTAATTTTTCAAACCTAATTGTTTGTGAAGGAAAATGACTGAATAGTAACAGTAACACTTTCAAAAATATATGAGAAATAGTTTATATACTATGCTTACTAAAGGAACAGGAAGTATCATGTCTGTAAATTTAGCAATAAGACAATTGGCAGAGTATATTTTATGTAAAATTTTAGTTGAACTACTTTATCCTTATTTGAGATAACTTCCGGTGAGATAGCGGAAGTAGGGGTGAGCTGGTTCGGTCAGTGGCTAGTGGGGTTCCTATTCATAGACATATATACATAGACGCCGCATCGACTGCCTGAGCGCGTCCTCGCCGGCCGCCATCTTGGATGTGTCTCGCTTCGCCTCCACAGTGCATTCACTTCTATTGAGGAAGGAGCTGTATGTATGCACAAGTAAAATAGAATAACTCGCTGAATTTTCAACTGATTTTCACGCGGTTTGGTTTGTTACAAACGGCACACATATAGTTATGATACAGGATGCTTTCGTACATTAAAAATGCGGGATTTCATGCTTTAATACTTTCTGCAGATAGCAACAGCATGTTATTTAGGTCACAACACAGTTATTTATTCACCTCAACCCCAGAGTGGGATAT